TAATTATAAATCTTCGTTAAACCGGGAGCTAAGCATATACAAATGAATCGGTTCCTGAAAAAGCTTCGTTATAAGGCTATCTTCGTTAAAACGGACCTTCGTTAAAGCGGACTTCACTGTGTACCTGTATACAGTAAACATAACTTATGGTGCACAGCATTAATGTACTAACCAACAAAGGATAGTTTAACTATAGATAGAAATAACATGATATTTATGTAACATTATTGACATATATAGTAAAGCAAATTTTACTGAGGGGATATATGATCGAAATCGGGCTCTGGATAGGGATATATATCACGTCTCACATTAAGCGCTACAAATCAAATAAAGTAAAACTCGTTATAAGTCGCCAGGTCGGACCAAAAGCTCTATAATAACGAGCAATTGTTTCGCAATATAAGAAAGTAGAAATACACGAAACGCCTGTTTATTTGCAAACGCTTGTAAATTTTTGTGGAATTAAATGCCATACATAATAAAATGACACGATGTCATCGTCGTTGATATTCTTGACGAAAAAAAAGGGGGTTTATTCACATTCCCAGAGTGAATTGAAGAGAAAGTCACTCGCCAAGAGTAAACCACTTGATGGCCGTTTTCCAAATTGAATGTCTTTGACTTACACAACGGATTGGTAACGTAAACTAATGGAATTACTAAAAATAAAAGTGGACGTCTCCTGCGGGTCTGTTAGCAGGAAGCACATAAAATTCTAAGCAGCAGCCGGTGATACATTTAACCGTCTGTTATGATAAATTCCAAAGATTAATGGGCCGAGACTAACCTTCGGCCTAACAAGGAAAGTTTCATAGAAATTTACATATTTGATGTTTGTCACACATGACACACAAATTTTTCTCGAAAAACACTGTCACGGACCGCTACATGGTAATTGGATATTTATAAAGGTAACTTAGACTGCTTCTGTATTTGTTATTTGGCGTCTGCCCGGATCCACATTGTACGACAATAGTAACATAAGATAGTTAGTGCTATGTATTCAACCTCACTCTCAAAGAACACTATGGGCATCACAGAACTTATCGACCACGCATTGCATCGCGAGCCTCAGCCCAAGTCATACGAAAAAAAGGTAAATAACATGGGGTTTTTCATAACTGGGAGACAATGATTGATAATTGAAGCCATACTAACATATTCTATCAACATATTCTTACCATTCGCGAAGAAAAAATACCGAATTGGCAAAACATTAGGTCTAAACAACCGCTCCAATTCCCCCACCTTTTCCGAGCATGTTGTTTTATACTCACACTCATTGCATTTTCTGTATAACAAAAAGGCTCGGGAACTTATGGTGCAGTGAAAGAGGCGGTAAACGTGTCTACTGGTCAGAAAGTAGCAATTAAAGTGATTTTGAAAAAAGATGCAGCCAGTCAAAACGACATGGTGCAGAAAGAAATGCAAGTCTTGCAAAACTTGGATCATCCCAATATCGTAAAGTTTTACGATTGGTTCGAATCTCGAGACAAGTACTATCTTGTTTTTGAATTGTATCTTTTTTGTCGACGATGTATTATGTCATTGAGGAAAACATGAAAAAGGAAGAAAGGCAATCGGTTGTCATTTTCGTTTTCTTTCTTTATTATCTCTTGATGTTCTTTGCCTTTGATAAACAGAGCTACTGGCGGTGAATTGTTTGATCGTATCTGTCAGCGGGGCAAGTTTACCGAAGCCGATGCTGTACAGGAAGTTAAAACAATTCTTGGCGCTGTAAAATACCTTCATGACCATCACGTCGTACATCGGGGTAAATCTTGCGTTCTGCTTTGCGAGTTACGGATTATTTGTCTTTTGCTAATTCTTTGTTTATCCTCTTATAGATCTAAAGCCCGAGAACTTGCTTTATAAAGACAGAACACCTAATTCGAAGCTCGTTCTTGCCGATTTTGGGTAAGCGTCGTCGGTTTGTATGAGTAAAGAAGTGAATAACTCCATTGACTTGAGTTTTTCTTAGAATTTCACGTGTCATAACGACTGATGACGAAATTATGACAACAATGTGCGGCTCATTTGGCTACGTTGGTGAGTAGAATTGCGTACAATCGGTTGCTGAGGAAAAGGCTAATCTGGTTTCTCGTTTTGTAGCTCCAGAAATTTTCAAGCGCACAGGATACAACAAGGCAGTCGATATATGGAGTGTTGGGTAATTATCGTTTATTCAGACACCGGTCAACGTATGGCCACGACGAGTCTGGCAATCGTTTACTAATCTGTTTGCAACTATAATTTGTTCTATCCATAGAATAATCACGTATACGCTGTAAGTTGTGCCTAGCAAGATTTACGCAATTTGCTCTTGTTGTTTGAATCATCCTCATCCTTGTCCCGCTTTTCCAATTGTTTCCACCCAGTCTTTGCGGCTACATTCCTTTCCGAGCGGAAGATCGCGCTGCGTTTATAGAAGAAGTGACTGCCGCTCACGTCGAATTTCATGATCGATATTGGAGAAATGTGTCTAATGACGGTACAACAAAATTTTTGTTTTTATTTTTTTTTTTTGAACAATCACCCAGGTGTATATAACGCTATGCCCTTTTATTTATTACAGCCAAAGGCTTTATTCTCAGTTTACTAAATCCTAACCCAGCGGAGCGCCCAACTGCTGAACAAGCTCTTCGTCATAAGTGGTTGACAGGCGAAAATAAAGCAGACTTTAATTTGTTAGACGGCATAACCGAAAACTTTAATGCCAGGAAAAAGTTTAAACAGGCAATCGACGCTGTACAAGCGCTCAACAGAATCAGGGGAGCAAGCAAGTCTAGCAGCGAAGAAGAGAATGAAGATAACGAGGGCAAGGCGGATGAGAACCCTGTTCAGTCGCAAGTTTAACGGATGATTACAAATCCACGATTTTTCTGCTTAACGAGTTATATATACATAATTAGCCGTTATGTAATAATTTATAATAGTCATTCCGAGCATAGTCTCAGCAATTTGATGCTGTAAATACTTGAAGATTAATGACTTTTTTTTTATTTATCTATTACAATAATACTTTATCCGAAAACTTGTAATCTTAAATTCCTAATATGATTAGGTGTCGTATTACAGCATCCTCCAATAATTATTCTCTTTTTGTCTACGGCGTTGACCCATTTTTCAGAAAGCGTGCCAAATGCATCCGCTGGAAGAGCAGTCGAAAGTATCCACTCCCTTCGAACATCATCCCAAGCAGCACCAGCATCGGGATAGCACACGACCCATTTTTCCACTAATCCCATGTCGTCAAGTTGTCTACGAGTAATGCCGATTAGATCCTCTACATATTGAGGGTTTGTGCAATTGACCCCGACGGCGACTACAGAAGGAACATCCATACAAGAATTGATACACTCTGTTAATGGTTCACCATGTGATACCAAATGAGAATTCCGACAAGAGAATGAAACCCAAGTTGGTGGGCAGTTTGGAACATTTCTGAGAAGCTCTCGAATAATATTTGCTTCTTGAAGAGACGGTATTGTCTCGAATGCAATGAAATCCACTTGATCAAACATTGGAGCGTATATGTCTAGACGCTCCTTGTGAAACCGAAGGACATCGTCAAAAGTAGCATCTCCATAGTCACCAGTGTATTCAGCACCATTGCATAAAATTGCTCCATAGGGTCCAAGGGAAAGAGCAACAAGTGGGATATCGCGACGTGGGCTGTTTTCTTTTTCACCCTTTTGATATTCGTCCCAGAATGTATCGCGCGCCTCGGTCGCAAGAGATACAGAACTCTGCATCAACTCTTTAGCTTTGGTTTGTGTGAACTCCTTGAATCCGGCAACGGAGGCTTGATAGCTAATAAAAAAATATATATTGTTTAAATAAACAGTAGATGCAAGGAAGGGGTCGAATGTTTTGCTAAAACGTGCTACAGTAAACAAATTGATCAATGAACCTTTTCTACTCAGTCAACTCCCTATCAATAGCTCCCTTCAATGATAGACTATAGATCAAATTGACTGTAATGATGATCCAAAAGATCTATGCAAACCTGCAGGTAGATATTATATCAGCGCCTGCACGAAGGTAGTCCAAGTGAACGTTTCGTATCGCTTGCGGATCCTGGTACAAGCATGAAGAAGACCAAAGTGCTGTGCCGGTCAGATTTTTATGATATGCTCTCTCCAGATGTGTTGCCGTTCCACCATCCAATATCAGCGGTTTGGGCGAACTGAGACGCTGAAGCGACATTGCGTTTAGTTTTACCCTCAGTGGATATAGTTTCGTTTTTAATTGGGAAAAGTGGCACAGTATTAACCTTAAAAAGTAGACAGTGACAGTCACATGCATCATGAACAACGCGTCATAAT